AAAAAACAGTTTTAAGATGGAGTCGGTCATGCATGCGTCTGCTTCCTCTAATTATTTTAATGTTTTAAAATTAAAATAAAAAATACTTTAAAAAAAAAAAGAAAACATTTTTTTACACATATCTCGATGCAGATCTGGGTAGCCAGGAGTCAAAGTATCTACAGTAACTCTCTTGATATAAACATACTAAATTCTGAATCTTTCGTGTAATTCATTGCAAAACTCAAATACAAACTAGCTAAAATGGCATCTACAAAACCTTGCAAGACCAAGGTTCAAGACAAGGTTGCTATCGTCACGGGAGGTGCCAGTGGCATAGGCGAGGCCCCCGTGCTTGCCTTTGCTGAAAACGGCGCACGAGCAGTCGTGATCGCAGATATTCAAGATGAAAAAGGCCAAAAGCTTGTAGAATCCAGCGGAACTAACACATCCACTTACATCCATTGTGATGTAACTGACGAAAACCAAGTCAGATCCCTTGTGGAATCCACTGTTCAACTTTATGGTCACCTTGACGTGATATTCTGCAATGCAGGCATTGCAAGCTTTGGTAAGCAAAATGTTCTTGACTTCGACCTGGACTCGAGCGACAAACTCTTTGCAGTAAACGTGCGTGGCACAGCAGCATGCCTAAAGCACGCGGCGCGTGCCATGGTGGACGGCGGTGTAAAGGGCAGCGTCATTTGCACATCAAGCGCCGCTGCTACTCTTGCAGGGGTCAGGTTCACAGATTATATCATGTCCAAGAGCGGGGGTTTGGCACTGATGAAATGTGCAAGTTATCAGTTGGGTGAGCATGGGATAAGAGTCAACTGTGTGTCGCCAGGACCGGTGGCTACACCTCTCGCATGCAAGACATTCGAAATGGAAGTAGAGGAGGTGGAGAAGGCTTTTCAGTCGTCTTATTACTTGAAAGGTGTGTTGACAACGAAGCACGTAGCTGACGCAGTGCTGTTTCTTGCTTCTGATGATTCTGAGTTTGTGACTGGCCAGAATCTGATCGTCGATGGCGGGTTTAATTTTCAAGGTATTCCCAAAATAAAATGATCCATGGTGTCGGATTTAGTTCTTCATGGATTAATCCGTTGAGAAATTTATGTACTATTAAGTGATCCACCTGATCTTCCAAATAATTCTTTCAATGACTTATTATTGAAGGATTCAATTTAGTAATACCATCAATTTATATTTGATTTATTTCAAATCAAACTAAGAATTATGATTTCTCAAATCAACTATTAACACAAAAACTATTATTGATATTTCATTTAAATTTGACAATTACATAACTCAAATTTAAACTGGTAAATACAAAATTTAAAAGCATACTAAAGATTTAACCTTCCCAAAAGTTGTATCCTTTTGTGAATGGCAAGTGTTGTTATCCATTTTTAAGTCATACATGCTACTGGAGATATCCCTTTTAAATTGAAGGTAGAAGTTTAGTTCATGATTGTTGGGAAATTGACAAAAACTAAGAAGAAAGAAATGTCTTTTTCGAACCCTGTTTCAACCATCTCCTGCTCTCTTTATCCTTCCCCATTGCTACCGAAATTGTCAGGATTCTTAGGCTAATTAGGATTCTTTATAATACTAAATTCATTCCTCTTTTACATGGGCTGTAAGGTTGAAATAAATGCTTTGAAAGTGGTACTAGAAAACCTAGTTCTACTGCTGCCGCAATTTTTTTTGTTCCAACTTAGACCCTGATTCTGATTTTGGTTCGTGCAATATCTGACCATCGCAACTATATTCTATCACTCATGACATGTTGAAGAATGGAACTAGACCTTTTTTGGGTCCTAGGGCTCATTGTTCTTATGGCAGGCTCTCAGTCAAGGATGTTTGGCATTGTCAGTTTCCTAAATTTAGATCGGGAGACCCTTTATGACCAACCAGATTGTGGCCTGATTCTGTCATGTAAAACAATTATATCTCACCTTGATTCCCCTTGAAAGACATAGTCCTAGATGCATAGATGAATTTGGGCTTTTGAATCGATGGATTTTGATATCAGAAGCTCAAGCTCTGCACATTTAAATATCTAATGTGAAAATAGAGAATTCTGCCACGAGCAGGATTCTGACCCAAGTTTTGCATCGAAAAAAAATTCTGCTGCCATCATGATTTTTCTAGTTCAATCTTAGGGTACTCCCAGTCATATCAGGATGCTCGGCATTTGTTAGTTTTTGAATTAGATCAGGAGACCCTTTTTGACCAACGAGATCGCGGCTCGATTCTGTCCTATAAAATGATTATATCTCACCTTAAATCCCTATCAACGTTGTAATCCTGCATGCATAGATGAATTTTGATTTTTGAATCACTCGATTTCAATATCAGAAGCTCAAGCTCTGCACGTTGAAATCTCTAATGTGAAAATAGAGAATTCTGCCACAAGCAGGATTTTCCAAGTTTTGCACCAAATTTTTTTTTTTGCTGCCATCACCATTTTTCTGATTCATTCTTAGGGCACTCCCAATCATATCAGGATGCTCGGCCTTCGTCAGTTTTTGAATCAGACCAGGAGACCCTTTTTGACCAACCAGATCACGGCCCGATTCTATCCTATAAAACGATTATATCTCACCTTAAATCCCTATCAAAGCTATAATCCTACATGCATAGATGAATTTTGGTTTTTGAATCGCTTGATTTCGTTATCAGAAGCTCAAGATATTCCTGTTTGAATATCTAATGTGAAGGTAGAGAATTCTGCCGCAAGAAGGATATTGACCCGAGTCTGCACTAATAAATTTCTATTTTTGGCTTAGTTTTTTGTGATTTTTGTTCTTAGTTCATACTCTCAGTCATGTCAGGATTCTCGGCGTTCGTTAGTTTTTGAGTTAGACCTGGAAATCCCCTTTGACCAACTAGATTACTACTAGTTTCTGTTCTATAAAATGATTTTTTCTCACTTCGATTCCCTATTTTGTTCTGTAAAATGATTTTATCTCACTTCAACTCCTTCATCAAATTGTAGTTCTGGATGCGTAGATGATTTTGGGGTCTTGAATCGCTTGATTTCGATATCAAAAGCTCAAGATATTCCTGTTTAAATATCCAACGTGAAGGCAGAGAATTATGCCGCGAGAAGGATATTGACTCGAGTCAGCACTAAAAAAATTTCTATTGTTGGCTTAGTTTTTGTGATTTTTGTTCTTAGTTCATGCTCTCAGTCATGTCAGGATTCTTGGCATTCGTCAGTTTTTTGAGTTGGACTCGGAGATCCTTTTAGACCAACCAAATCACTGCTAGATTTTGTTCTGTAAAATGATTTTATCTCACTTCGACTCCTTCATCAAATTGTAGTTCTGGACGTGTAGATAAATTTGGGCTTTTGAATCCCTTGATTTTGATATTAGAAGTTCAAAATATTCTCATTTGAATATCTCATGTGAAAGCAGGGATTCCTGTCATGAGAAGGATTTTGCTCGAGTTTACAGGGACACAATCGCAAGATGCTTAAAGTTTGAAGACCAATTGCAAGCCAATTTGAAGCCTTTTTTTTGGACCAAGGACCAAATAGAAAAGGTGCTAAGGAAGCTGATTAAAGATAAAATTAGTAGGAAGAAATTGGAGAACCACGTTTTTTTTTTCTACAACAGCTATCCCAGGAGTAGCTGGCCTAATGTTCCCAGCTATGGAAGGAAAGAAATCACTGGAAATCATCAGAATATGCTGGTTTCCAATCTTTGCTCCTCGAGATTACACCCTAGGGTTAATATAAGATTTTGTTTCCTAAGTGGAGCTGCATATAGGCTATATGTAAGCATCCTCTGCTGACCTAAAAATGAGGAGGGGGAGAAAAATTAACGAGGGGGAACAAAAGAAAAAATCATCTTGTCTGCAGCCGCCTCCCTCTCGGAAAAGAAAACAGAGGAGAAACCCTGTTTTAGGATTTTGAACCATCGGACAGAGCCCCGTTTCTTCTCCCCATCACCACCAGATTCTCCCCCACGGTCCAGCAACTTCTCTTAAGACCAGCCAAAATCGTGAGCCCCAAGCAGCGTCAGGAGCTTTGCTTAACATTCCAAACAAACAGCTCTTCTTTGAGTCCTGCACCAGTACGCAGCCTTCTCCAGCTTCAACAGCTGCGTCGTCTTCAGTTCCGGCAGCCATTGCTGACTCGCAGCCCGTCAATCACCAAGAACAGCAGTAGCTGTGTTTTCTTCTCTACACTGGGAGCAAGAACCAGCAGGGGCGCGGTCATCACCAGTTGCAATTCCTCAGCCACTTTGAGCAGCAATAAGCAAGAACAACACAATAGCCGGATCCTTCCTCCCAGAGCAGCAAACAGCAGCAGTAACATGACGACAGGATATCCTCCCCGACCTCCATCTTCAGCAAGCACCGGCACCAGGGGAACCCGAAGGCAGGGAGAAGACGAGGACACAAGAAGAAGGCTGGATGAACGCAGACAGTGGAGAGCTAAAAAACCAGACCGCTAGCAGACCAGGTATGTAAGCCGTTTCTCTCCTTTCTCAGTTTTGCATTTGCACTTAAAAGATTTGGGCACTGTGCGAAGGTAAATTAATTACCTTCGCACTGTGCAGTGCATGCGTGAGTAATTCAGCCCAGCCACATGGGCTGAGCTGGACCCAGCCCAAAAAAAAAGAGTAATATCGTTGGTTTTCTCGTGTATTTGATTTATGGTTTGCTATTTTTATATTGTAAAAATACAAATCTGGTATTAAAATACCCGGTTTTTTTCCATGAATTATTATATATATATATATGTCTGAAAAACAAAAAAATATTTTTTTGTGTGTTGCATACGGCCAATACCTTAACATGTTTTTGAATTTTTTTTATATATAAAAAATATTAGAAGTTTTAAAAATGTGTTTTCACATGAATTTCTTAAATACAAAAATTATTTTCTTGCATTTTTTGGATTTTACAACATGTTTGTAAAATTCCAAAGGATGTTGGCCAATATTCCAAAAATATAAAAATCTTATTTTGGGGGAAATTCATCTATTATTCACCGCTAATGTTTGAATGAAGAAATCCTTAAAGGATGAATATCCAAAATATTATTGGGAATAATTTGTTATTATTCACTGTTAATATTTGGATAAAGAAACCTAGAGTGGTAAATATTCAAAATAATTTTCTAGGAATAATAAATCAGCACACATCCTTGAAAGAAACCTTGATTATAATCTAGGACATTTCAATTTTTTACTCCACGGTTTACAAGCCGTGAGAGTATAAAATATTAAGACTAAAAAAATAGGTTTTTTAAAGCACCCTAGATTTCTAAATTTTTGTCTCTCCTCTTGTGATTTACGAGTCGCAAACTCTTGAAATACCAAGGGAAAAATGAGCTTGTAAAGCTCATGGAATCTCCTTCGATTTCTATCTTAATAAATTTAGTTAGAATTTAACCGAGAAAAACTGATGGGATTAGAAAACACCAACACCATAGCAATTATAAGACAAACTAAACACCAAGCAGCTTATCTTAGGTAGGGCGTATTAGGGGTGCTAACACCTTCCCTTTACACAACCAGTCCCTTACTTTAGAATCTCTGAAAGACCAGTTAGGTTTCCTAGTGATTATAATACTAAGTGGCGACTCCTTTTTATATAAAAATAAAATTAAAAAACTCCAAAATCAATAGATGATCGCCGCTCCGCCCTGAGCGCTCCGCCCTGAGGGTGTGACAGGAAGCAACAACACTCACAATTATTGGAAGATACGCAGTTCACCTTTGTAAAGAGGCACACCATAAATTGAACACATACATTCATTATATATAATTTCCTTGGAAAAACTCGTGCAATTCGCTTTTTTTCCTTCGTCAAGAACACAACAGGCCTAACTGCCACACATCTTGACTTTATTTTTTTAAAATGGTATATTAGATTCATCTAATAATTTCACAAACAAAAAATGTTTAAAAACTAGAGTGTATATATAAGATCCGGTACATCCTTGACAACATATCGATCTATGAGTGTAGCGTTTGCCTTCGATTCTCGGTCCATCCACACCATACAAGCGCCGCTTGGATTTTGAACTATAAGATCTATTTAAAACGACAAAACCCAATTGAAAAAATTGAGAGAATTCAAGACTCGAAGGCATTTGTCTTCGTTTTATGAAAGAAATAAACTATAAAATAAAGGAAAATTCTGA